TCATTAACACAAAAAATGTACACATTTCAGTTCATGTGAATTAAACTCTAGCACTGCTTCTGGCATAGAATAATTAGTAAGATGTTGCTTTTTCTTTCACCTTGTATTGATGGATAATCCTGCCAATAACCATAAGTAGTGACCTAACAAGTCTTTGGCAGAGGTGCACCTAATGCACTGCCATGATCTGCATATGCATAGAATAAAACTCCATAAGGAGAGAACCATTCGAAAGTAGTAGGCTGGGAAAAACCAAGATGGTGGCATAGGTAAACAACTAATCTGCAGCCTCGGACAACAATTTCAAAACAACAACTAAAAGACAAAACGCCTATCACTCAGAACCATGGGAAAGCTGGCTGAAAGAGAAAGGAGCACAAGCGCTGAAAAGCTGAAAAGCCTAGGTATGGAGGCACAAGTATCGGACTGGTGGCGGGAGTTTATTCAACATAATGTAGCGTATTGAATGGCTTGGGGCCATTATGAATATTGATTTTGGGGTTGTATTATGGATAAACATATAGGGAACATCTGCTGAACAATACTGGTTAATGTTCCTTCAGTATACTAGTTTTAAGAACCATTGAGAATTCTTCAGCGATAACTGTAATGATGAAAAAATCAGAAGGTAATTCAGTACAAAGAGGAATTCCCTTAATTGGCTTATACCAGCCTGTCAGACTGGTTAAACCAAAAAATATCTGGCAAGCGCTACTAGGAAGACTGAAAAATGTATGTCCAAAAAAATGGCACTTCCACCATGATTATGCCCAATCAATCCCGCAAGCTTTGAGAAAGAGAGGGAACTCTGTTTCAAATATGTGAAGAGTGGGCAAAATTTGATCAAGTGGATTTTATGGAACATCTCATTTCTCAGACCTGTCATTACCAACATGGGCACATAAACTTGTGTTTTTAAACTACTATTGCAGAAAGATTTCTGTAACATACTGCCAAAGATATTCTGCCATACCTACATACCAGACTACTGTGTGCAAGGAATGGTACATTATAGAAGATAATGATCAAGAGAATGGTCAAGAACAGTCTATGACAAGACTGAGCAGAATAAGAAGAAAATAGAAATAGTTGTGTCTCCCAACTTTTTTTTTCCATTCCATTCATTTTAATAACAAGGCAATGAGTAAAAAATATAGTTGTCTTACACAAACATGACTAAAGGCTCACTGTTCTTTGAGGTAATGCTAGAGAAGCCTGATCACGCCAAAGCCAGAGGTCCCAATTTCATCTGCCACCTCCCCCATTTTTTACGGTTTGCTCTAAGTTATCCTGAAATAGGGAGACAACAACAAATTCATTGGAGATGAGGGAGATATGATTTATGCAGCATCCTCTGCCAAATTAAAATAAGCAAAGAAGTTACTATGTGTCCAGAGATGTTCCAAAGAGACTAATTGGTCTTCAGATGAGACACACACTAGAATATAAGCAGATTCTCAGGAGCCACGTGGCTTCCATCAGTGTGGTGAGAATGGTCATAACTGCACTGCCAGATGTGGACTGTCGGCGTGTGAAACACACTGGTTCCTCATTGTATAGCAGTTTTGCACTTAAATGTGAGAGATGGTCTGATGGTGACATGCTCTCAAGACTGTTCCTTTGCTTTGGGGGATATAACCTCACAATTATCACCTTTCTGGATGTTAGTTATGGAGTTTGGCGATAAGAACATTATTTCTATACCAGGAGGTAGTATTGTAATAGTGAAAAATACAGTAATGTAAGCTGGGAACTTATAATGGGTATGAGTGTGGCATTGCCCACTGGTAGTACTAACATGGGCTAGTAATGAGCGATTCATCTGACACCATCAGGGCATGGTACTGGGTTAGTGCGCCAGGACTGACATGCCAAATGCCATAGAATAAGGGACTTAAACAACAGAAATGTATTTGACCCAGTTCTATAGGCTGAATGGTTAGTTTCCTCTGAGTCTTCTGTCCTCAGCTTGTTGACTACTGCCTTCTCACTGTGTTCTCATAGGGCCTTTTCCTCTGTGAATGTGTGGTCCTGGTAACTCTTCCTCTTTTATAGGGACACCAGTCCTATTGGATTAGGGACCCACCCATATAACTTCACTTAATCATAAGTACCTCCTTTAAGGTTCTATCTCCTAATACAGAAACATTGGGGATTAGAGCTTCCGTTTATGAATTTCAGGAGGAGTGTTTCACAGTTAAGTCCATGACAGGGACCCAGAGCATGGAACGTATTTCCAAGGACTAAAGAGCCATGTGAAAGTAGTAGTGTGCTGTATTTGTGTAACAAGGGTAATCATTGGATACTTTAATAGGAAAATTGAGTTGTAGAATCATAGTTCTTTGGACCTCTGTCCCTCTGAAGGGGGTCCTTTTCAACAGAGCCTGGTGAGCCATCAGGACAAGTTTTCTGACTCCAGTTGGATGAGTTCCAGATTATCAGTAGGCCACCCAAGCTTTTAAGCCTAATGTGGGACGTTCTGAATGAATCTGTTGCCTATGCTACATCTCTCCTGCTCTCCTTCCCAGCAGCCACCTCTGGTTCCAGATAAATAAACATACATTGACCTCATATTTGCTTAAGGTCATCAAAGCCATGCTGTCTCAGTGTACAAAATCCAGGCAGAGGAACAATAGGACCAAACCCCCAGTGTTTGATGCTGGATTTTATAATGAAAGAAATACAGTGGACCTGCAGGTGACTGAGGATAGTTGATCTTCTCAGCACAGCTGACTACTTTAGAACTGCTACCCAAAAATATGTCTTATCTTTCATGAGTGAGTAAGATTTCCTGTTCCTCATTTTTTCCTCTTTTTTGCTTCTTCCCCCTGTTTGATGCTAGATAAACAAGGCCTATAAATGTGTTTAGTTTTGGAAAAAAAACTCACGTTAAGTCCCAATTGTACAACTTACTAGTTTACTTGACTTTAGGCAAGTAATTAAATTTCTCTGTACATCACATTTCTCATTTATGACATTGAAATAGTAATTTATACCCTGCCAGGATTGTCATAAAAGTTGAGTGAGATAACTTACATAAGCAACTAGCATGGTACATAGAACATGGCTGGCACTCAAAACATTTTAATTTGCTTTCCCCTTCTATGATAGCACCAGGTAGGAGAATAAAGGAGAAGAGATTTGGAGAACAGAGGGAAAAGTCAAAAGTTCCACTTTTACATAAGTAACTGGGCATCAATATACTAAATGGTATAAAAGATGTGTAATCTTTAAACAATATCCTGCATAGTATTTTGTAAATTAGAGACTGTGCAACGATAGCAGTAAAATAGAAGTTGCATTTGTGCCATTTGAATAAAAATATCATTACTGCCCTTGTACAATATAGTGACAATAGTTAATTCCAAATTTACCCATTAAATCTCCTGGTTGCCCTAGCTGTTTTGACTCAGTGGTTAGACCATTGTCCCATGGACTAAAGGGCGGTGGGTTTGATTCCGGTCAAGGGCACACCTTGGTTGAAGGTTTGATCCCTGACCCTGATTAGGGTATGTGTGGGAGGCAGCCAACCAGTGTGTCTCTCTCACATCCATATTTCTCTCTGTGTGTCTCTCCCCCTCCCACTCTCTCTAAAAATCAGTGGGTGGGGAGATATCTTTGGGTGAGGATTAACACAACAAAATAAAACACAATCTCCTGGTTAGTGTGTTCACAAATGCAGTATCATAAATTAAAAGTTACTGAAAAGAGTCTTGTAAACTATTCTAGAATTCTGTGCTTAAAATTCTTCTGTCTTCCTGTTGCCCATATTACGAGGCTTCTGAACTCTCAGCATGCAAGATCTGGCCACTTCTTTCTTCGGTAGCCTCAACTTCCCCCACCTTTCTGGGCTCTTACCTTTACTCCCCGGCTCCCACCATATTGCACTATTTTTGGTTTCTCTTTTCTGGACTTAAGCAAGTTGGGCCTGAGATGCACTTTTGATCTCTTCACCTGCTTTTTATTAATTATCTTTTATTTTTCTGCAAAGCCTTAATTGTAATCCCTTCCAGAAATTATCTTTTTCATTGTATATTTAGCCGCTAGCATGGCACCAGGCTCATTAGGAATTCAGTAAATACTTAAGTAAATGAGTCAGTATTCTGCCTTAATCCAAGGATTATATCATAATTTTATTGCATATATTATTGTATAACCTGTAAATTTTCAAATCCCATTTAAAAAAAAAAAAGTCGTTGTTTATTCTTTATATTATATGCCACTTTATACAATGTGTCACATTTAAAATGGGTCGATGTCTGCTTCCTTCTTATAATTGCTATAAGGGATTTGTAAATGCCATTGTAGTCATTCATTTTTATTTGGATTTTTCCAAATGGGGGGAAAAATCAAATATAGTGACTATTGTAATACAGAGAAGAGGATGTTCATAGAAAGGCTTTTCCTCTTAAGTTTCTGTCTGGTGAAAATGAGCTTATGAGATAAGCTCAGTCAAAATATTTAGATTATTGATATAAAATATCAGAAACATGTTTGTAGAGAAATATATCTCAAAAAAAAAACATGAACAATATACACGTGATCATGATGAAGTTATGTCATTGGGTTGTTCCATTGAGCTTTCCTTTTTATAAAATTTGACATTCTGAAGGATTTTTTTTTCCAGATGCATCTGCTTAGCACAGAGAATGGGAACTAAAGGTAGTATAAAACAATTCTAAGAAAGTGAATGTTGTGTGACCTTTTTTTAAATTTGCTTCACAAGTAATTTATTTTAAAAAAATTAACATCTGCTATTTTGAAGCTAATCTTAGTGTATTGAATGCTCTTAACCATTTCTCAATCCCACAGCCTTTTATCTTGCTTCTCCTGCTGTGTTCCCACCACCCTTGATCCCATTAGCAAACCTTGAGACCGCCTCAGGCTTACCAAAGTACTGCTTTGGTTTCAGCTGCTCTTCTGCAAGAGGAAGTGAATGTTGGGGGTTTTCTCTGTGGTACAGTTGTGATAAAGCTGTGGTGGTCTTATCTCTCTCTTAGGTAGTGGCTCTTTATGACTACACAGCGAATCGATCAGATGAACTAACCATCCATCGCGGAGACATTATCCGAGTGTTTTTCAAAGATAATGAAGACTGGTGGTATGGCAGCGTAGGAAAGGGACAGGAAGGTTATTTTCCAGCTAATCATGTGGCTAGTGAAAGTAAGTTTTATGCTCCCTTCCTGGTTTGCTAGAATGGTATAACTGATAGTACAAGATTTTATCATATTGTGCCCTTTAATTTACTGTCTTTGTAACTTTTGCATATGTTTACCAATGGGTATTGCTTTTCCTTTTCATGATGCAAAAGAAATAAAAGGGGAGGCACTAGTACACCAGAAAGCTATTACCTTCATCCTAGGGGACCTGCCCATCTCCCTACAACCTTCTTCAGCCCCTTTTCCCTGCACCTGCTTCATGCCCTTCAAGCACAATTGCTGATATGTCATCTCTTCTCTTGCCCAGTGACTCAGGTGACAGACACTTTAAGAGCCTCTAGTTCCCCAATTTCCATTCTTTTCCTTTATATACCGCAGGCCTAACTGTTTACCTATTACCTACCTATTTACACTAGATTGTTTCACTCTCAATAAAATTAAGCCCTCATTTGTGAAAGGAAAAAGAAAGGATCTGGAGAAGGAATTCTAAATACAGTTTCTGAAAGTGGTAGATTTCACCTTGAGAGATGAAAATAGAACACAGTGAGCTTGCGAAGAAAGACTACAAGGAAGGGGTGAAATACAATAATGCTTCTTCAGAAGAATCATTTTAGCAGTAGTTAACTTAATCATGTGGTGTGAAAAACCGTGCTCAGGGGTCAGGGAAACTGATTTCTAATCCTAGCTCCTCCACAGCTATTCCCGATGTGCCTCAGTTTCCTTCTATAAAGTGAGGAAGTTAAACTCTGTCATCTCTAAGTTTTTTTCCCCCCTCAAAGAATACTAAAATCATTTAGTTAGGATTTAAAATAGCATGGGAAGCCTAGAGATTACTCTGTTTTGAATAATTATTCAGTCTTTTGCTTCTGCAAAGAAGTAATTATTATAGATAATAGTTGTTTTTTAGGTTAGTCTGTGAACCCCCATTTAACTAAAACAATGGCTGAGCAAAAGTACTATTGATTCCTAAACTAAGTTCTGAATTTTTGAGAGCAAAAGAAATGGCATAGGAAGAATTTCCTTCCCTGATTACTGGGCCCTGGCTTAAGCCCAGATAAAATATTTTCTCTTTGGCACTTTCTACCACCTTGTCTGCACCCAGGGTCCCCCTGCCCAGTCTCGAAAGGGCTCCCAGTCTCATTGTAGCTTCCTTCCCCAGCTTATCTGCTGCTTTCAGCAAACTCCTCCCCTCAAAAGTTCCAAATGTCTCAAAAATCACCCACTTCTCTCTCAGATAACAAATTTCTGTAGATCCTTTGTGCCATTGTTTTAATTCTCTTTCCTTGAGCAGTAAATGACTTATAGATCTGAAACGCTATTGCAGGTATAGTTTTATGTTTAAAAGAAGATGCATAATGGAGAAAAAAACATCAGGCAATGTAGAAGAAAATTTAGGACAAGTTAATACCCAGTCATCTCCAAAAAATCTGCACTTCTAACTTCCAGATTGCCTCAAATATCCTCGTTTCTCCCCCCGCGCCCCTTCCCACATGGTCAATACCTGGAATTCAGCTTCTGCCTTTAAATGAAGAGCTACCTACACAATCAAAGTCATTCTGGAGTTTATCCATCATTTCACCTAGATATTACCATTCATTGTTAATCCAGATACAAATGAAAGCATAATTGTTTTATACTTGACAATGTAAAAAGATGATGTATTTCCAAGCAGGATGGCAGTAGGTGCTTTAACTTTTTAATCTTATTAGTTTTCAGAAATAACCTCTTAGGCTTCAAATCTGGAGAGATTATAGATATTTGATTACAGTGGGTTAAAAATCCAATAAAATTTTCTTCCATAATATTCCAAGTGAGACTTCTGAAGTATACTGTAATGATTAGTGGATATGTACAGAAATTAATGGTCTCATGTAGTGACTATTCTTCAACTGTCATAATTCCTTATTATATCTCAAAATAATTGATATTTTATTTTGGCATTAGTTATTGCTTTTGAGAAAAGTCTTGTAAATGCCAGAACAAACAGAATAAATCCTAAGATGCCTGAGAATGTAATTGAATTCTCACTTCATTGGGGACTTTTTTTTCTCCTTTTATCCTACTTTTTACCTGAATTTAAGAAAATATTGTCTGCTGTTTTAACATTAGAGAAAAAATTACTGTCAACAGCATATTTCACTCTAAAAATAGTAGAAGTCCTTTATCTTTATCCAAAGCTGCATATACAAAGCAAATGATCTAAGGAAGTACATATCTGAATAGAATCTATACCAACTGTTCAATTGAGAGCCAGGTCTACTAAAGAACTACAATAGAAGACATTGATATCCCATTATTATAGACTTCTTCCTTTTGTATCTTAAGTGACTAGAAGAAAAGCATGATCAGCTTTCCTTAATCACATCATTTCCAATAAGAATTAAAAAAAAATAATGAAATCAACCCATACACAAAGCCAGTTAATACATCTCATAATCTTAGAATTTTGATTAGGTGTATTTAAACAATTTCTCTCGATTCAAAGATGATCAAGTCATTTAACCAAGATAGATTTTCTTTTTAGCCCTTTTAGATTCTACACTGTGTATAGACTAACTAGATTATGTAAATTATAATCTATATTAATAAAAGCCTATTAGGGGTGTCGAACTCAATCAGAGAAGGGGCCAAAATCTAAAATCCAGCCTAAATCGTGGGCTGAATGGTTTACTGAACAGTCATAAACTGTCATTGTGATGGAAACGCAGCGGAGTGCAGTGATGACAGCGCGGTGCGGGCCACATTGCAAGGCCTGGCGGGACGGATTTGGCCCGCGGGCCTTGTGTTTGACACATGTGGATCTTCATGCCCTTGAGTGCGATGTCACCAGATGGCCGCCACAAAGATGGCCATGCACCCAGTGGAGGCGGGGCCTGGTGGCCACTCTGCGTGGTGAGGCCTGGGGGTCCCACAGCTCCTCATGGTGCAGAGGAGGCCAGTCCCAGTGGAGGAGGCAGGTGGCAGCAGGGGAGGGCAGTTGGGGGCAATCAGGCCAGCAGGGGAGTGGTTAGGGGGCAATCAGGCTAGCAGACAGAAATGGTTAGGGGCAATCAGGCAGTCGAGTGGTTAGGAGCCATTGGTCACGGATTGTGCAGGGTGCAAACTGAGCTGAGGGACAACCCTCCCCCTTTGTCTATGAAATTTGTTTTCTGGGCTTCTAGTTTTACATTATAAGAACCTCAGATTCAGCTTTCTGAATAGATTCAGTATTGTGTATAGTCCTTGCCCCATGCTTAGCTATTTCATACCATCTTCTCAAATTATCCTTTTTTCTACACCTTTACCTGACAAAATCCTACCCATTCTCCAGAATCTGACACACTTCCTGTTTCTTTCATTAAGCATCTACCATCCCCATATCAGAGTTTGTCTTTATTATTCTCTCTCTCTTAAGTAATGTTACATTCTATTTTATATTACAGTTCCTTGTGAACTTATATCTGTGACCAGATTGTATGTTACTTGAGAGCAAAGACTGTTTTGATCATCTTGGTACCTCCATCAGTACCTAGCATATAACATACATATAGCAGGTTCCTGATTAATGTATATTAAGATAAATTGAAATAAACATCTGTATGGCTATACAATAAGTGAAATGACACCTTCTACATTTCTGAAATCCTACTGATCACAACTTTGCAATTATAAGTTCTTTTGATAATTAATGTATAAGATTTCAAATCACCTTAATAGTAAGTCTCAGGTAGCTTATTTTTATATCAAATTTTTTGGTTTTCTATCTGCCCCCACTGTTGTTTCCCCCCCATGAAATAGTGCTTCTCAATTTGATTACTTGAATTTCTTTTTCATTTCCAGCACTGTACCGAGAACTGCCTCCAGAGATTAAGGAACGATCCCCTTCTTTAACCACCAAGGAAAACACCAAAATGGAAAAACCTTCTTTATCTTCTCAAAAGGTAAATGTTTTCAAGAAAACGTATAGCATATGTCCTTTGATTTTCACTCTCTCTGGATAAAATATTACTTTATTTTTCATGCTTATATCATTGTTTACATTATTATTTCTTGTAAAATTGGCACCAATGTTATGAAATAATGTAAGGCAAATATTACTGTAGCCATTTTCCAAATAAGGAAACTGAGGAGGCTCAGAGGTTAAAGTAGACCTTAAGTCACAGTCGAAGTAATGGGATAAGGATCCAGAGTAGAACTTGTGACCTCAAGTGTGATGCTATTTCCATCCTATACTTGTTTCTGTAATGACGATACTGACAGTGTTATTAGCCCCACCTGAGAGGTACACATGTGTGCTAAATGTCATTGGGGCCCAACAGAATAAAGATGGCCTATCTTCCTGGAGCATTCCTTTTATTTGCTAGAAATTTAAAATATTTTCAAATTAAAATGAGCATGGATATATTATCTGCCAGAGAAATATTTTTATTTATTTATTTATTTGTTTGTTGTTTATTTATTTATTTATTTATTTATTTATTTATTTATTTTGAGTGTCATGTTTTTTTAGTCTGAGCCTTCAGATCCCTCAGTCAGTATTCTTCTGATATTAATAATACTTAGGTGCAAAGTTTAATAAGCAATTAAGCAATGTGCCATATCACATATATTACTTATTGAACTTATTTTATTCTGTGACATTAGCTTTTGCCTTAAATGGAGTAACTTCACTCCTTAATAACATGAAGTAGCAGTGTATAGAGTTTTTTAACAATGGAACCTATCATGTATCATCAGTCATTCAGCCTATATTTATTGAATGCTTACTAGTATTTCCATGCTGAGCATTAGTCCTCAATGAAACAAGATTGAGTAGACAAAGTACTTGCCTTTGAGGCTGGTGGGTGAGACACCTACAAGTAGACAATTTCAACAAACCATGGTAGGAACTATAGTGAAGATATGTGCATAGTGTATTGAGAATGCACACAGCAAGAAACCATCAAAATCTATAATACGTTAGGAGATCAAGTAAGAGTTCCCCGAGGAGGCCATGCTTGAGCTGAGGCTTATAGGAAGAAAAAGTATGTGCTTTGTAGATGATCTTAGAAAAAGTATTCTAGCAGAGGAAACAGCTTGAGTAAGATGTGATAAAGTGTAATTATTTTGTGGAGTATATGGCCAAATGGAGAGAAGGACATAATTCTTGTGTTGATTTGGTCTGCTTTGTCTGAATCCATGCATTATAATAGACTCCTACATATATTTTTCCTCTTAGGAATTTACCACTTGTAGAGTTTGATAATGTTTTATTTCCCTGTGGGGAAAAGTATAAAGAATGTGAAAAGAAGTCCCTGAGAACCGGTAATGTCCCAGGTATTCAGAATGCCTCAGGTAGGCTCTGAGTGATGACGCAAACAGCCAGCCCTTGAGAAATGTGTAACTGGGCTTCCTCAGCACCTGGCACAGTTACATGTCTTCAGTTTATTTTCTTTATCAGAATATATATGGTTTGATTTTATCAAGATCCTGCCTTATAAACCTACCACAAATTCAATCAGATGTTTAATTTCATATGTAAGTTTTATTTTTATTATCCTATGCAAGATATGTTTTTAAAAAAAGAACTTGAAAAAGTTGTCTCTGAAAAGTGACTAAAGTGGAGGAGGGTCCTAAGTTCATAGAATTAGAAAATTGGTGACATAGAAGGAACCTGAAAATCATCCCCAGTGATTTTAGTCAACTCCCTTCATTTTATAGATAAAGAGATCGAGATCCAAGAGGGTTGTAAGAGTCACGTTCCAAACACTGCTCCTAATTAGGAGCTCGGCCCCATGTTCTCAGGCCAGCCCGTTCCCTCCACCACCGAGTCACCGACAGCTGTCACCTGGACAGCTAGCCACATTCTGTGTAACATTGATTTTTCACATACCTGTATTATGTTTGTTTAATTGTACACTTCTTCATGTGGAAGTCTTTAGAATTTTAGTCTTTATATCTTTTAAGGAAAAAAAAAAAGGAAAGAAACCTCCTGAATTGTTTTCTTTCTTTTTAAATGATTTCTGTTCAAACTACAGAATGAGAAGTAAAATTATACCTTTTAATAGCTTGGCAGCTGCTGGATCTTATTAAGTCCTTCCAAGTGGAACACACCTGTTCTGTTGCTAAATGTGCCAGGTCCCTTGCAACATTTCATCTGGTTCATTGAAATGTTAGTGGGTGATGGAAGCATTCGCTCTCCCTCTGCAGGGAGCAGGGCCAGGTTTGAGTTAGTGATTCTCCGCCATAGGCTAGAGAATCCCCAAACGAATCAGTAACTATCTATACCACAGGGACAGGAGAGTAGAAGACTTGTCCTCAAGCTCCTTCCAGAACATTTTTATCACACTGTGCTATAAATTTGGATCTAATAGGAGGAAGAATATTTGTGCTATCTGGGAGGATAGCTTTAAAAAATATGAGGGGGTTTTTGTTGGTTTTTTGAGGATTTTTTTAGACATTTTATTTTTTACTACCCTATATGATTTGCTATACCTATATCATTCATATATTTGGGGAGGAAAGTTGTTAAATTTCTTTTTTTAAATGTAATTATTTTAAGTCATTCTATTAAAGTAATATATGTTCATAGTTTTAAAAATTCAACCAATAAAGAATACTGTAAATAAAAAATAAAACTCTGTCCTAATATTCATGTCCACTATAATTTGCAATTCTTGTTTAAAATGTTCTCTGCACATGTAAATAAACATGTCTTAATTCATGTCTATGTTTTGATGAAACTAGAATCATACCTAATATTCTGATGATTTTTATTCATAATATATTTTGGCTATCTTTTCTTATTACCACAGACAATTCTGTTTGTTTAACAGTTGTAATTACTAAAATGGCCAATTTTTTTTCTTTTTTTTATTCCTAAACTGCCCAGGTATTTTTTTTTTAATTTCTGAAAATGCTTGGTTTCCTCTTTTTATTGTTATAAAAAACAAAACCCAGTCCTGGCAATGTGGCTCAGTTGATCGAGTGAGATCCCATGCCCTGAGAGGTTACTGGTTCAGTTACCGGACAGAGCACATGCCTGGGTTGCCCCAGTCTCTGGCTTGATCCTGATAGGGACATGCAGGAGGTAGCCGATTGATGTTTCTCTCTCCTTCTCCCTTCCTCTCTCTCTAAAATCAATGAAAACATTGTTTTTTAATCCAAGTAGAAAATTACCCTCTATCTTCTATAAATGTTTAAACATTGACAAAACCAAGTCATGTTTTTTTTAAATACCAGACATATAGTAATAATTATGCACAGGAATGTTAGACTATATATGTGAATGTGGAGAAATTGCTATGATATTTTTGCTTATGTCTGTCTAAAATCTCACTAAATGAATAAGTCATTAGTTTAGCTATTCTAAGACAATTATAAAAATATCCATTAAAACTCATCTCTTCCTGTGGTAAGAGTTTTAATTATTTTTAGTTTTTTATTTAGCATGTAGTCAGAACAGGCTGGGTCAGTTCAAAAGAGAGCTGGTTCATAAACCAGCGTGCATATTCCACTTATTAAGGGCCAGCTGTTTTTTTGTCTAGTACAGAACAAGAAGAGAGAATCCAAAAGGATCAGATAACAATGGTGGTTTTGCTTCCAGCCAAACATACACGCACAAAAAATTTTACATTGGCAATTCTGTCAACCTCTCAGAAAAACAGTAAGCATGTGTGTATTCACAAAATATCTAATTTTCATTTGCCCTCTTTATCTCAAAAGTAGACAGTTTATTAAAGCCTGGATTAATTGTGCTATATTTCACTATTTTAAAAAATAACTTCATATAGAAAAAAAATGTTTTTCCATCTCCTGTTCCTTATACCAGGAGTTCACCTAAATTATTTTTAACCAGAGAAATAATACGATTTTATGACTGTGTTAAATCCAACAACAAATTTATAGTAGACAGTGGTTATTTTTAGTATGGCAAATAGATTTTCCAAATACCTAGAAGTTAGTTAATATACACTGAACCATTGAAAATGCAATCATAATTAGCATTGTCTCCTTTCTATACTAATTTATATCTTTTTTAGTTTAGTAATTTTATCAGAGAAAATTCAATTATTTGATATATTAAATAGATAAAATTAATTTATGCTTGGATTTGCTTTTATATTTCAGGAATAATTGAATGTTTTTTTCTTGATCCAAAGAGAACAACGTCAAAATCTTATAAGTAAAATTTATTTGTATCCCATAAAGAGTCTCAGTATAGGCAACACTAATATGTATTTCTTTCCCCCCCCTAATTTGTTTCAATAACATATATATTTTGAAGAAAAAATATTGATTTCAAAAAATGTCATTTACATTTGAAAAATATTTGTTCCACAAAGTGTGTGTGACCCCAGTGATGTGACAGCAAAGCCAGTGTGTCACCTCGCACCATAGATCCCAACATTATAGTCTCTAACTGCTCTACACAGAGGAACTTTTAAAAATATATATTGATTTCAGAGAGAGGGAGAGAAATAGAAACATCAATGAGAGAGAACCATCAACATCAGTCTGCTGCCTCATACACACCTCCTCCTGAGGATCAAGCCCACAACCCAGGCATGTGCCTGATGGGGAATCGAACCGTGACCTCCTGGTTCATGAGTTGATGCTCAATTATTGAGCCTCACTGGCCATGTTACTCAAAGGGACTTTAAAAGCCTTCACAATCTCTCTTACCCTGAAAGGAACTCATTAGATCTTGACTTTCTTAAAGGTCTGGGGACCAATTCTGCTACCTATTCTCTTTATACCTTTGCCTCGGCCATTGTATAATATTTGGTATGTATATTTTGCCCCTGCTTTGTATCTTCCTCCAGTTTCCTTTGGGCGATTCCCCTCCAAGTTTTCAGGACCCCATTACCCTCAACAGACTGAATAACCCCCCTCCCAGGCTGCTTGTCTTTTCAATGTACCTAACCTAGGGTAGGTACAAGATAACTGCCAGTGGTTCTGA